ATATATTACATATGGACCAATACAACATATCTATAGTTCCATCCTTCTGCAGCTGGAGTAAATCCTGTAGAGACTGACAGTAGAGTTGAGGTGTTCATATATTACATATGGACCAATACAACATATCTATAGTTCCATCCTTCTGCAGCTGGAGTAAATCCTGTAGAGACTGACAGTAGAGTTGAGGTGTTCATATATTACATATGGACCAATACAACATATCTATAGTTCCATCCTTCTGCAGCTGGAGTAAATCCTGTAGAGACTGACAGTAGAGTTCAGGTGAGCACACAAATCAAATGGCATGACTAATATGCCCCCCTCCTGCAGCTGAAGTCTGTCCCATAGGGTCTGATAGTAAAGTTGAGGTGAGCACACAAGGTACAATCAGAATATGCCCCAACCACTTTACATACATTTACTGTCTGACAACTTATGTGCAAGTCCTTGGTTGTTCATGTTCACATTCTGCCCATCCATGCAACAAATATGGCTTCTTTGCCTCTTCCTGTATGAGCAAAGACTATACTCTGGATGAGATGCAATCTCTCATGGGCTTCCTTTGGGTGCTTTCTGAAGGATGTGCATCTAGGTAACTTTGCATTTGTCACTCCACAAATTCAACATGGAATTCTAGTTACAAAATGTTTACTTCCGAGATGATACTTCACCTCCACAAAATGTTTGAGGTGAAGTATCATCTCGGAAGTAAACATTTTGTGGAGGTGAAGTATCATCTCGGAAGTAAACATTTTGTGGAGGTGAAGTATCATGTCAGAAGTAAACATTTTGTGGAGGTGAAGTATCATCTCGGAAGTAAACATTTTCCTTAACCTAAACATGTATTACAGATAGATACCTCTGCATCCCACTTCCATTGCACTTTGGTTTTCCTTTCCTTATCAAAAAAATGAAGTTTCTACGAGTGCATAGGGGGAGTTATTGCGCATGAAGTGTGTTGTCCTCCTATTGGTGGAAGGATTTTTCACACAATGAAATCATCATGGAGTAGCACAGTTCACATGAAATTAGGTAGGAGTTGTCTCAAGGCTAGTGGCATGCAAATCACTTTGGTAAAATGTGAGGAAGATAGCTAAACTGTGTGCAGAAGTGAGTATCTTTCAGAAATACATTTTCAGTTTAGGAAAATGTTAACGTTGAAAGTATTTCATTTGAAAGCTACCTTAATACTCATTAATCATTTCAGCTTCTAACTAGCTTAGTAACTTAGTTTGGATCTTGTATATATGACTATTATGAAGTCAATGCAGCCAGCTAGTATAAACTTACTATATGAATTTAAAATTTATAGCCACTTTATTTCTTTGAGAGCTTTTCATTGGTTTCACAAACATTTGGCCAAAACAATTATACAAGATGTTTCAAGTTTAAGAGGTTTTATTGTTATTTCAAGATTTATTTTTTTCTTAATCTTCCTAAATATATGCATAATTGTTTTTAGAAGAAATCTATTTAACTTTGTAATATTATTGACTAGATTAAGAGAAGTCAGTACATGAGTTTTAGAAAGAGGTTTTATACTTTCTGTATTATTACAAACACACCAGGTTTAAAGATGGAAAAGTAATTCACCCTAGTAACCATGTGGAGATGGTTGAGAAACCAGATGGCACAGTTCAACTACTGTTAGATAAAGTCACACTAGAAGATGCTGGAAAGTATTGTGTTGTGGCCAGAAATGACAAAGGAGAGATAACAAATGAAGCTGATGTGACAAGTAAGTTCTAAGCTTTGTGTGTCTTGTAGGGAAAGCTAAGTCTTTTCTTATTCACATTTTCCTACTGAATGTATTGTGGGATTATAATGAACATACATATATATATATATGTGTGTATGTCATTTACAACCAGAAAATTTGTTTTGGGGCATGTTTACTTCTGCTTGGACTGTTGTTGTGTAACACAGATGTTTAAAGCTGATTTAAAGCAACAATGTCAGTGTTGTGACATAACACAATATTTCATATACTATTATAGCTTTCTCAGAAATAAGAAATGGCTTATGAAATATTTTAAAGATATAATATACCTATCAACCTGCATAGCTTCTTGAAAGGTTGTTACTTATTGAACATAACTGACAGAAAAACATTATACCAGCTTGGTTTACTTAGCAAAGAAAAAAAATGTCCAGAGTTAATGTGTACTTGCTGAACCTTTATGACTTTTGACTAAAATATATATTTGCTTGACTACAAAATGTAGACTTTAATACAGCCTTGTGTGCTTTTTTTTATAGCTGTTCCACCTAGTAGGAAAATTGAGAAACCAGTAGCTAAGAAACCAGAATTTGAACACCGGTTAAGACCAGCACTGCTAACTGAAGAAGAACCTGGAAAATTAGAAGCTATTATCAGTGGAGCACCTAAAGTTAAAGTTCAATGGTAAGTAATATTATTGAAAGAAGATTTCTTTCTTGTGTTAACCTTCGACAAAACCTTTATTTTAGTAAGGTACTGTTGTTTAGTAATTTTTAGTTATATGATATAATTCTAATTTAATTTTTTAATGCTATCTTTGTTTTTAGTACATTTGATTTAATTAGGAACCTTAATAAAATTAAACTTGAGGTGTTGTCTGTATAGATTATTAGCTGATTTGTGTTAAACAGAAGTTATTTGGTATAACATATGCAGTATTATTGGAAATAGTTATGGAATTGGTGAGGGTAAATACTATACGATTGTCACACCTTTATCTCATGAAAATGTATTGAACCAGAGTGCAGTCATGTGTGGATAATTAATGACGATTGTCACACCTTTATCTCATGAAAATGTATTGAACCAGAGTGCAGTCATGTGTGGATAATTAATAATACTATGAAAATGTATTGAACCAACGTGCAGTCTTGTGTGGATAATTAATAATACTATACGATTGTCACACCTTTATCTCATGAAAATGTATTGAACCAGAGTGCAGTCATGTGTGGATAATTAATGACGATTGTCACACCTTTATCTCATGAAAATGTATTGAACCAGAGTGCAGTCATGTGTGGATAATTAATTATAGTATACGATTGTCACACCTTTATCTCATTAAAATGTATTGAACCAGAGTGCAGTCATGTGTGGATAATTAATAATACTATACGATTGTCACACCTTTATCTCATGAAAATGTCTTGAACCAAAATGTCTTTATGAGTCCAAGTTTAATTATTATATATGTATTTATATATGCATGTGCATTATTTGTTTATTTCAACTATAAATTAATCACTTACTTTTCAGGTTGAAAGATGGAAAAACTATAACTCCTAATGATCATTTTACACCAATTGAAAAACCAGATGGAACTGTGGCTCTTCTCATTGATAAGGTTACCCCAGAGGATGCTGGAAGGTTTGGTGTGGTTGTCACCAGTGATGAAGGTGAAATAAAAAGTGAAGCTAATGTTACAAGTAAGTAGTTATTTCAAAGTATACTCCTCAGCCTATCAAAATAGCAAGGATGAATATGTTGTTTTCTGTGTAGTATTGCCCCTTTCTTTAAAGAAAATATATTTATTTGCTTGTTTATTTATATACATGTTGTTAAGACATAAAAGAGTACTTTGGGAAAATTAATAGATAGATGAGATAAACTGTAAGACTGGTTTAGCAATCTAACAGCATCTTTTCTGACATGTTAGGTCAGTAAATATACAGTAATAAATTTGTTATAAATGTTTATCAGTCTTTGTTTTTATGACTATTTCACTAAGTTTTATGTAAGTAAAATACAACATTCTAGCTGTTCCAAAAATCATGGAAGAACCAATCGGTAAGAGACCAGAATTTGTAAGAACTCTGTCACCAGTTGAATTAGAAGAAGGAAATTCCTTGAAGTTGGAAGCAAAAGTAATAGGAGATCCAGCACCAACCATTACATGGTATGAGCCACTAAATTAAAAACCTTGTTTAGAAGGTATATTGTAAGGATGTACTTTCAGTAAAGTTGTTATGTTCTTCTGCAGTTTTAAGAACTAGGAAATTGAAAATGTTTTGAAAAATATTACTAAAATACAAAAAACATTAACTTTTGTCTTGTGAAACATTTTTATCTTATTATGTTTTATCTTATTAGTTTTTTATCCCTAAGGTGATTTTATAACATTTTAAATTATTTATCTTTCATATTTCTACTTATTGTAAGATTTTTATACATAATTTGTGTAATACTTCTGTATTTCTTTAACAAGTTGGTGAGGCATGACCTAGTAATTAGTGTACTGGATTGTGGACCTTAAGGTCCATAATTTATGCCCTATTAATGAAAAAAAAAGATTATGCTCTGCATTATAAATGACTGTTATGTCCCACCATTCAATTAGAGGAGCCCAGTAGCTGGAGGTGGATGTTTTTGATTGGCTACCTACACTGTAGTCTATCAGTTCAAAATTAGGAAATATCCTAATATCCTTTTTATATCTTTACACAAATATCTAAAACAAAAACTTTTTGGAGGTTTTTTTTATTTGCTTGCTGAATAATCTTGCTCAGTTAGTGATGTGCTTCATTACCTTTATAACATTGTTGAATAAACGTTTTAATGATATGAAATATTTCGAATTTTATTATGTTAGTAGCACTTTATGCAACATTGCTGAGTGGAAAAAAAACTTCCAAAGACTGATTGTAAGCAAGATAAATATCTCTTGCCAAAGTAATTTTATACATGTGCTGATGTGTGGCATATAAGAATGTTTATACCAATAACTTACTTCTGAGTTTAAAATAATGGCAGTATGCTCATATGTGATGTCTTTTTTGTATGATATAAAATTACTGTTTAATTATAAGACTCTTTCTTGATTGCTTAATTGTTTTACATAATTGATAGACCATGGCATTTATAATTTATCATTGCATATTGGACAACTGTGGTATACTTTTTTAATTATATTATTTTTAGCTTAAACATTTGAAGTATTTTCTTTCATAAAACGTTTCATTACATGCATACTTCTTATTTTCTGCATTTTTTATTATTGTAACAAAATATTTTTGATTTTTAGGTTTAAGGACAACCAAGAAGTTTTGTCAAGTGAACGTATAATAATGCTAGAAGAACCAGATGGTACAGTTAGCCTCTTGATTGAGAATATGACTCCAGAAGATGCTGGAAAGTATGCCGTTGTAGCATCTAATCCTGTTGGAAAATCTCGAAGTTTTGCATTTGTTGATGTTACAGGTAATTTGTATAAATGTCATTCTTTTATATTGAAAAGTAGTACACTAAAATAGAATGATGATCAGGTACTTATTAAATAAATAATATATATATTTATTTATTATAACTGTTTAATACTGTAAACTAAACTACTCACCTTTGTTTGCTGCATATAACAAATTTAAGTAGAATTGTTGTTCTATGTTGGGTCTAATTAGTCTATATATATTGTGCCATAAATATCTTTAGAGACATTGAATAAAAGTTCATGACTTATGCATATTATTCAATTTCATTCATTAAAATTTGAAAAGGTGTGTATGTAGTAAATATTGAGACCTGAACCTGCTGTCATGAAATATCAAAAATTTATTGAAAACTATATATGAAATTCAAGCTCTTCACCTAGATCTGTTTTTAATTTATGAATTTTGTATTAATTGGAACTAAATTGTGCAGATTTATAAGATGTATTTGTAACAGTACTAGATTTGTTTTTATATTTTAGTATTACTAAGCACTGAAAATCTGTACCATAATGATTGAACAATGAGAAAGGACAGTCATTCTGTCAAATGTATTTAGTTTGTATATAACAATATAGGAGCTTTACCTATTCCTTTGTTTTTTGTGTGTTTTGGGGACTATTTTGAAATCTGTCAACTTTCAAGATACATTTTATATACTAAACATTATCTAATTGAAAACTAGAATCAAATGAATTTCATTAAATACAAAATATTTTTTTGGCTAAATCTGGAATAGTTAAAACATAAGTATTTCACCAGCACTTTTCAATTCAATTAAAGTTAATAACATGGACTTAAGGGTGTTGCAGCTTATGTCTTTGTATATGGACTTGATCATTGTGACTAAACTTTTAACTGCAATATAACCATGGTATTATACTTACTATGAATTAAAGTTAATAACATGGACTTAAAGGTGTTGCATACAAAGACATAAGCTATGGACTTAAAGGTGTTGCAGCTTATGTCTTTGTATATGGACTTAAGGGTGTTGCAGCTTATGTCTTTGTACATGGACTTAAGGGTGTTGCAGCTTATGTCTTTGTATATGGACTTAAGGGTGTTGCAGCTTATGTCTTTGTACATGGACTTAAGGGTGTTGTAGCTTATGTCTTTGTATATGGACTTAAGGGTGTTGCAGCTTATGTCTTTGTACATGGACTTAAGGGTGTTATAGCTTATGTCTTTGTATA